GTGAGGTTGAGTGGTGAGGGTAAGTGGTGAGGGTGAGTGGTGAGGCTGAATGGTGAGGGTGAATGGTGAGAGTGAGTGGTGAGGGAGAGTGGTGAGGGTGAGTGGTGATGGTGAGGGGTGAGGGGTGAGTGGTGAGGCTGAGTGGTGACAAAGAGTGGTGAGGTTGAGTGGTGAGTAGTAAGGGTGAGTGGTGATGGTGAGGGTTAGTGGTGAGGTTGAGTGGTAAGGGTGAGTGGTGAGGGTTAGTGGTGAGGGTGAGTGGTCAGGGTGAGTGGTGAGGGTGAGTGCTGAAGGTGAGTGGTGAGCAGTGAGGGTGAGTGGTTGTTGTGAGGGTGAGTGGTGAGGGTGAGTGGTGAGGGTGAGTGGCAGTTGTGAGTGGTGATGGGTGAGTGGTGAGCGGTGAGTGGTGAGCGTGAGTGGTGAGGGTGAGTGGTGAGGGTGAGTGGCAGTTGTGAGTGGTGATGGGTGAGTGGTGAGCGGTGAGGGGTGAGTGGTGAGCGTGAGTGGTGAGGGTGAGTGGTGAGAGTGAGTGGTGAGGGTGAGTGCTGAGTGGTGAGGGTGAGTGGTGAGAGAGTGGTTAGTTTTGAGGGCGAGTGGTGAGGGTGAGTGGTGAGGTTGAGTGGTGAGGGTTAGTGGAGAGTGGTGGGTGGTGATTGGTCAGTGGTGATTGGTCAGGATGAATGGTGAGTAGTGAGGGTGAGGTTGAGTGGTGAGGGTGAGTGGTGAGGGTGAGTCGTGGTTGTGACGGTGAGTGGTGAGGGTGAGTGGCGAGGGTGAATGGTGAGAGTGAGTGGTGAGGGAGAGTGGTGAGGGTGAGTGCTGATGGTGAGGGGTGAGTGGTGAGCGTGAGTGGTGAGGGTGAGTGGCGAGTGGTGACGGTGAGTGGTGAGGGTGAGTGATGAGGCTGAATGGTCAGGGTGAATGGTGATAGTGAGTGGTGAGTGGTGAGGGATAGTGGTGAGGGTGTTTGGTGATTGGTGAGTAGTTACGGTGAGTGGTGAGGGTGAGTGGTGAGGGTGATTGGTGATTGGTGAGTAGTTACGGTGAGTTGTGACGGTGAGTGGTGAGGGTGATTGGTGATTGGTGAGTAGTGACGGTGAGTGGTGAGGGTGAGTGGTGAGGGAGATTGGTGAGGGAGATTGGTGAGTTGTGAGGGTGAATGGTGAGGGTGAGTTGTGAGTGGTGAAAGGTATTGTCAAAGCCCACCGGGCTTTGACAATACCTTAGTATCTGTGTGTATATGTAAGGTTATTAAGAAATATATTTTTCACCCGGGCAACGCCGGGTACTTCTGCTAGTAAATGCACATAATACAAAAGTGTGCGCCTGACCTTTGGCGACGGCGCGTGCGGATTGCTGCTGGGGGGTCACCTCGTGCGCGTTGTGCGCAAGTGCAGCTGGCTGCGTTGTCAGCCCGCGCGCGGCGAAGGGAAATAAATAAACAATCGCGAAACTTTATCTTTAAATAAAGAAAAATCGGCAAAAGACGCTAACTGAACTAATTTTAAGGTGACGGGCGTGAAAAGGGAATCGCCTATGCCAAGCACGGGGCTTCCGGCGTGGTACCTGGCTAATTTTTGTTTACGCGAACCCCCACCGTTTGAGAGCCAAATCCCTCGCAAGCGCGTGAACACTCACAGACAGGCAGAGACACAAAATTACATTTATATAGGTAAAAAACAGATTGTACGTGTCTGCTACTTACAGGATAGGGGATGAGGTGAGGAGTGAAGATAACGAGCAGAGGGGTGAGGACGAGGTGAGGTCAGTAAGGGAGGTGCCCGTCTCAGGAGTGTTGCATATTTGTTGCTTATTCTCGATGTTTGATTTGTGACGAAACATTGAACAAAGTACTTAATACATTCGGAAGTTTAGTAAATTATTCGTGTCTGCTACATCTACCTACACGCGTGCGCGTGTTTATCCCGGAGGGATCTCATGAGCTTGACGTCCTCTTTCACACACGCCCAGAAGGGACGGGTCAGCCGGTTGCATCAACAACAAAATGTAACCAAGGATACTTGAATTTCGATTTAAAGCTTTCGTGACTGCAGGGATTCATCTTCTTGGTTCTTTCGGTAAAGTCACGTAGAAGGGAGATAATAAAATAATACAATTCTCACTGTGAGAATTGTATTATTTTATTATGTTTTATTTATCACACATTCTCACTGTGAGAATTGTATTATTTTATTATGTTTTATTATTTTATTATCTCCCTTCCACGTGACTTTACCGAAAGAACCAAGAAGATGAAAGGATACTTGAGTAAGGATTGCGAAAATGTCATCAAGTCACAAATAAATATGTAGTGCAAAAACAAACTGTGCAGCACAAACCTTCCTGTAGATTTGTCAACATCATATCCAAGCTTGGGCAAGACGGCAAAACACCGACAGTCAAAGGAGCACACCAAGACCAGAGACAGTCGCCTCGTGAGTGAATTTCACTGCGACATTGACCTCTCGACACGTGGCGAGGAGGCTCCAAGTCTCAAGTCGCAGGGAGCTTCCTCTGCCCCCATTGGGTGTCTGAGGGGGCGGGGTTCACTGGCTCTGGCTCCGCCCACAGTAGGCGGGGCCAATGACGTCACCTCCGGCTTTGACGTCACTCCGACAGGGCGAGCGAGCTGAGCGGCTGCTTCTATCTCTTGCGCCCCCAACAGGAACTATGAGGTTCTTCAAGAGAGCGCAGCAGTTGCAAGCGACGCTGGAGACTCCGAATTCGTCAACAGTGGAGGTGAGTGGCGCCACCTCTTGCCTTTCAGCGGTATCGATCGGAGTTATACGAAATAAATACCGTGATCATATCGAGAGAAAAAATATCGATTTTTTTTCCGTTATTTAAGTTTAACTTTAAAATTGAACGCTTGATATGTAGGTAGGGAGGTTCATAGTTGAATATCACAGATTGAGAGTTTCATCAAGGATTTTAGTCGGAAGGAGCTTTCTCTGGGCAAGGTGGTCCTTGTTTGCGTTGCCATGGTGACAGCATCTCGGACCAACTGCCGTTGTCCAGCAGCTGTGCCTGGGGGTCACGTGGCATTTGGTGACGCGATAAGGACGAGCCGTAGGCTCCGCCCATATAGGGTTGGCTCCGCCCACATAGGGTGGAGCCAATGACGTCACCACTGTAATGTCTGTTACGTCATTCATATCGGGTTTTGGGTGAGATCGCGTTATTATAAATGCGTCGCAACCCTCCACCACCCGACACGGCCAATCAGTAAAAAATGTGTCACGTTAACAAAACGCCAATTAGTTACTTCTTCAGCCCACGGGTGTGTTTGAAGTGAATCCACAACATTTAGAATTTGAGTACGACGTTTCGCTGGTAATTACATTACTAATCTTGACTTAGGGGCCGTCCATAAATGACGTCACGCAAATTTGGGCGATTTTTAACCCCCCCCCCCCTCGTCACACGGCGTCACCAAAAGTCAGACCCCCTCAAATATGACGTCACAGCTCTGCCCCCCCCCCCCAAACCATATTTCCATTTTGAAAATAAAACATGCTTCAAATCACTTTAAACTATTGTCATTGTAGTGCGCATTTAATGTGGCGCTACACTCTGATGTTGTAGGAGAAAATACGTATTAAAATGGAGGGGTTGGAAAGCTGAAATTTAGCATAAAATTCACTTTAAAATATTTAACGTCCAACTAAAACTGCAGATGTTCAGAATATTATATTGAAATTCTCTTATGATTATAAATTTTAAAAGTAATTAAAACAAAAATACTTTAAACTGTGCAGTAGAACGAAGCAAAATGGAGAGTACAATTATAACAATCACGTATTCATTTCACAGAATGTTTTGATGGTAGAGTTGTACTTGGCAAGAGAGGGGAGACAAAGCTAGGCTGGAGTGGAGGCCACCGCTGGAAACCTGTATGGAATTAATACAGGCAGTCCTCACTTAGCGCTCAAGATGCGTAGGTGGAGAAGTGAGCATTCATCATAATAAAGGCATTCATCGAATCAGCGCTTGAAGGGTTATTATACCATTGTACATATGGGGATGCCTTCCCGACAGTGTTGTCTCTTATGAACAATAAATGAGGGCTTCATTGGGGTGTCAGTATCAGGGCAATTTAATTACAGTAATAAAACATGGTAAACATTGTATCAAAACAAATACATATTTATTATCAATAAGTATTATGTAATGTACTCGCCTGATGCTCACCCACCTCGACCGGCCTTATCACTTGCATGTTACCATTCTAAGTGATACTTTTCCTTGACCTGTTGGTCTCATTTCCAGCACTAACACATTTGCAGGCCTCTTTCCAGACATTTTGGGGCTAAGATGCTCACTAAAAATATGAAAACAAGGCAAAGAGAGACCAAGGAATAGCAAACACGTCGGCGGACCAGGGTGTCTTTTAAAAACTGGCTGAGCGCTGCGGTGGCTCAGAGCGTAATGTGATAAAACTGAATAAAAAATATTGTAACAACACTGACAAAATTATCAAAACTTTTTTTTTATGTACCTGTGACCATACATCGTCATAATTGAATCGCGGGGGTTGGTTGCTGGTTGCCCCAGAGCGTTCGTCACTCTCATTGGCTGAGCGAATGTAAACAGAGATGGCGGTGGGTGAGTTTCTGAGACCAACGCTGCTGCGTGTTCTACCACGGTGTTTAGGCTGTGAGGAATCGTGTTGTCTTGCGTGGGTGTGTGGGTGTCAGCGTATCTGTCCGATGTGTGTCTACCTGCGTATGAGGCACTTCACTTGCCATGTGCCATGGTGTTGTCTCCACCATCCGTGTCAAATGGCGTCCGTCACGATGCGAATTAAGGCAGGATTTACACTGGGAGGAGCTAACGTGCCCATGCCATGTGCCCTTGCTCCCGTCGCAGTTGCCAATGCCGGAGAACGAAATGCACCAGCTGTCTCAGGAGGTGTCGAACCTGCGGGCCAACCTGGGCAGGGCACGAGCGCACTTTAACACCCTGCGTGGCGCCCTGAGCCAGAAGGATAAGAGCTCCACGAGATGCTGCACCAACTAGAGATCCAGCGTTCTGAGGAGGTATCCTGGCTGCCGCCAAACCCCCCTCCCCGTCCCCTTGTTGCACGGAGCGCGGCTAAAATTAAACGTGTTCTCGTTGTGAAGCTCCGTGGCGCACAAGCATGGATAACAAAACCTCAACATATTCGTCAATAAGACTGCAATGGATATTGCTGTAAAGAAGGACCATTGCCTGAAACGTCGCCGTTTAGATGTTCTGCCCTATTGAGTACATCGTTTTTGATGAATGTGTTGAGTTTTTATTCAGAGTGCGATCTGAATGTCAAGGAAATGGACCATTAAATAAGTGCATTCTGGGAGGTGGCTGTGCCAGCACTGCTGAGATGCCAGGATCAAATCCAGATTACAGCCGCCCAACCAGTGATTTAACGTGGTTCCCAAGCGTAATGAGTTGGTGGTCTCAGCCTGGTCGCCAATGAGTGCACAAAAAAACCCAACGAATAATATTTTGGTTCTGTACTTAATTTGGCTAAATTTGACTCCTAATACTGTTGAAAATGAAAAAGAAAAAAAGCAGATCAAACACAATTTTTGTATCATAGCATCTCCCCACAGAATGAGCATGAAGTATGTTTTACTGATTAATACACCTGTATGGGGCTGACCAGCATGGGGAAGTATAGTAAAACACATCCCCATGACCGACATGGCATTGTGAGTTGTCCTGAATATTGACTCCATTTGAAGACGATAATTTGGGTGCTTGGAATTTCTTCATAATCTTACGGTGAATAGTGTATCCATGTTATATGCATGCTTACAAATGGTTGATATATCATGGTTATATTTTTGGAATTTCTTTTATTATTTGAAATATTTTATATTCTCTTTAAACGTGATTGTGGTATGTTGATGACGACCATGGGTGTGTGCCACCTTTATGGGCACATGTGCGTCTCTGTAGACGATCCCCGTGTCTCTGCATGCTTACGTTGTCTCCCTGTACATGTTGTGCCTGTGGCTATGTACATGTCTCTCCATATGCACTGTGACTTTCCGTTCATGTGTCCAAATTTCTACATGTGACTTGCTTGTGTCTTTGTGTGTATATGTCTCTGCATGTTTGTCATTTCTCTATTTCTTTTCGTGTGCCTCCTGCCCATGTCTCTGTCTCTATTTCTCTGTACAACTACATACTGCGTGTGTCAGTATGTCTCTACCTGTCCTCATCTGCACGCTGCACGTGTCTGTGATGAGGGGCTGCCCACCTATGCATACACGTGCCTGTGCCACTGTGCCCATCTGTCCGTGAGCAGCTACGGGTGCACTCGCAGGCCATCGACAGCCTGCAGGCGGAGTTGGAGGCAGCGCGGCGGGGTGAGCGGGAGGCCGAGGAGCGTTCCGTGCACGACGCCAACGCCGCGTCATCGGAGCTGGCAGAGTTCACGATTAGGACTGAGCGGTTTCAGGAGCAGCTGAGACAGGACCACGAGGAGACTCTGAATCTGGCACGCATGGAGCTGGCCGAATATCGTGCATCGCACACGCACGCCGACTCAGAGTACGACTCTCACGTCGTGCACATCGCGGTCCTGCAGAAGGTGAGGCCTCCACTCTCGCAGCAGCCCCCCCCCTACCCACACTCTAGCTCCCTTGTCATTCGGGGCCATTGATTGGTGTCCTGGAAAATACTTCATAAGCCACATAATCCCTTGGAGCTCTTTTCATAATTGGCCAAGGTTCATCCATTGCTGGATGTAAGCCTCCCTTAAGCCACCACCACAACCTCTCACGATCTTGCAATTGTAGTGGTGTTAACTACTCGCTGTTCGCAAACTGTGAGAGAGCGGATCGTAAACAAGGTTATCCCGCTCAATCAAACGGTCAGGGTCAAAGGGGGTGAGGTAGGATCCAAACGCCAGATTGGGAAGGACCAATCGAAGGGTCCTACAAGGTGGCCGGGGATTGGACAACCAGGCCACGAACAGGTAGAAAAGCCAGAGCGCTGAGAGCTCTTGGCCGAAGACATCTAGGACCCTGGACCAAGCCCTCCAGGCCCTTATCAGGGCTAGGGCTCAGTGTAACCAGTGGTTGGTGAGAGATCCCCTAGGTCCAGCCAGAGGACGCTAGGATAGCAGGGAGATTAGATAGCCTGCAAGGTCCGGAGGCTGTGTCTACTCAGGGTAATGGGTGAGGGGACCATATACCCCCTTTGTGTGATAGGGACTGTGTATTAAGATAATAAACAGTGTGTGCCATAAAGAAGTTTACAAGTCCGTCCTTTACAACACTACACAATGATAACAATCCACCTAGTACCTGTAATTTAGATACTGCCCATTCTCCTCCCGCAGGAGCTGAAGGAGCGTGACGAGCTGCTGCAGCGCTCTGAGGCCGACCTGGTGGTGGCACAGGAAGTGGCACAAGAGCGTGGCACTGAAGCCGAGCGGCTGGGCGCCGAGGCCGCGGAGCTGAGTGCGACCGTGCGTGACCTCTATGCCAACCAAGAGGCGCAGCAAACTGAGGTGGACACCCTGCGGCATGAAGCGCTGGAGTTGCAGCAACGGCTGCAGGAGACCAACACTTGCTTCGAGGAGACTGGTGGGTAGGGGCCTGTGCTCCCAATCTTTCTAAATCCACGGACCCATTGAACACTCATTTTCGTAGACCACTATGCAACAATAACTTATTTTTACGAGTTTAAACGAGTCTAAGTACTAGAAACATTTCACACGTGGACCACTTCCGTTAACATGGTAGGACTGCACTGGGTTTACTAAATGCTCTCTAGCTAAGTCCTTCCTGTGCTTGTATTATTATTTTGGACCCCGTTTGAATGCAAGCTGGTGAATAGGTCTGAGGACCTAATCCCTCTTAGCACTGACTAGTTTCTGATACTACTCCCGCTGCTGTTACTCTTCCTCCTGATGCTTGCTGCTCTTTCTCCACCTGCTGCCGCTGGTGGCTATACTGTCTTCATCGCCGTGGTTTTGTGTCCCTTTCGACAGCCAATTCTCTGGAGCAACAGCATGAGCGTGCGGAGCTGTCTCAGGCAGAACTGGTGGCGATGCAGGCGCGGCTAGGCGAGCACAAGGTGGAGTGCGAGCGGATGCTGCAGAATGAGAAGTGCCGTGCCCAGGAAGAGCTCGACAACACCAGGTGCGTAGCGCAGGCACCAGTGGCGGCGACGGTGAGATGAGGGGCATGGGGGGCGTGATTAGGAGGGTGCTCGGCGGGTGTGATGGAATGGCAGTCCGTAGAAGGACACATACGTGCAACGTCCAAGGTGTTCAGATCCACACGTGTGCGAGCGTGTGCGAGCGTGCGCTTCCGAAAAGCAGAACACAGGGTGACTGAGGTTGAGCGATGGACATACGGGAAAGTAGAAAATCAAGGAACAATTTGTAATACAATTCACGTTGAAAAAGTTCCCAGGCTGCTCTGATTGTAGCGCCAGTCACACCATGGCCATGCAATTGCTTTTACTGAGATTTGGTGATCTGCACATATGCACCGCGGCCTTCAGCTTACCGCTTCTGAAATTCCCATTCTCTTCCTCTTCACTCCCCTTGCCCCGCTCTTTCCTCTACTTCCTCTACCCATTCGGTGATCCCGAAGTACCCGATGTCGCGGTCATCTCATTCTTTAACCCCTTGTATGCCCCTGCCATCTAAATTATTAAATTCTGTCACGTTTTTTACTATGTCAAACGCTTTGAGTGAATGCACCTTATAATATTACAATTAGTATCAGATATATAGACGTGCAGTGGAGATCGTCCACGGTTCGGTGTTGGATTCTCAGTGCGAGTGAGTGAGCGAGTTAGCGAGCGTGGGAGTGCCCGTGCTTGACGCCGTGCTGCCTCCTTGTGGTGTTGTACAGGGGCAAAGATGGAGTTCATCAAGGGCCGAGCTGGGGAGTCCTCCAGGGGCAGAGGAGGCCGGGACGGCACAGGAGTGGTGCGGTACTGCAGTACACACAGTTCATCACGCGGACTGCCGGAGATTGAAGTTTCATGCAGTGGCCAGATCGACGGGCATGCAGCACCAGGTAATCCAGAGGCTTCAAGCTGCAGCCCCACACCTTCTCATTTGATGTCGCACGTGCGGGTCTGTCCCCATCCGCTGAGGCAATTGGCACCATCGCAGGTTAGAGAATGGTCCGCAGAAGCATATATCACAGTACTACTTCTGAGAAATCTTTAAGTGCCCTCTGGAACACACAATGGAGGAAGTACTTTGAGACCTGCCCTGCTATGGAGAGTAATGAGTAATTTTCACCAAAAACAGTCAGATCTTTGGTTTCAGTGTTGGAATTTAGCTCGATTTAATGCAAAGCCAACATTGTTTTCCTGGGCTTTTCTGCGCAGTCATTGATGACCAGGCTGAGATGATTAACTTAATGCACATGTGTACCTGGCTTAATCACAGGTGGCTGAAACCTGAAGGGGTTAAAGTAACATAGATGCAGCCAGGAAGGCAATCAGCCATTATTATTTTTCTAATGTAGTATGATAATGCATTTCTATATGGCTAAATGTATAATTGTGACCACAGGATCGGTTCCCCCATCATGCCTTTTAATTTTGCCTGCAGATAGGTGAATGTTGGATGGGTAATTACAATTGACTAAACAAGACAAGCCCTGACTAGGCCTGTAACTAGTTTACCCCTCTCGCACGGGCACGCGTGACGAAGCCGTGATTGGCACTGAAGAGGGGCGCCATGGTGGCGAGATGTTAGATGTTAACTACCTCGCCTGACACCTGTATATTTGGAGTTTGCATGTTCTCCCCGTGGTCGTGGATTTTTCTTTGGGTCCTCCGGTTTTTCCCTCCACATTCAGAAACGTGTTTAGATTATTTGGCTGCAAAAGATTTCCACATGATAAGCCACTTCTTTGAACTTTCATTTGTGACAGGTCGCTTCTGAAATAGAGTTATATACCTCTGTGGTAAAATAAGGATAATGACAGTTTTAGTTTGAAGACATCTGTGGTAGCGTTCACAAGAGGGCGAGGCCCTTGTGCGGTTGTCGTGCTTAAATCGCCAAATATAAAATGTGCCAATGACAATTTGGCCGGGGATACATTTGTCGCCCCCCCCCCCCCGCGATTATTAAATCGGTGCCTTGTTCAAAAACAATGTGATCATGGAACATGAAAGGAGTAACCGAGACCAGAATGGTCATTGTGCGGTGGAAATAATAGTACACAATGCAGCAATTAAGTTTTATCGTGAACAAAGTAATGCACAAACAATGCAATACAGGGAGTTAAGTACCTAAAAAAGACCACACGATGTAACAGATTACAACAGGGAGAACATACGGCATTTGAAACCAATGGAAGTTATATACAAACAGGTAGAAAGAAAACTAAATATTGTGATTATATACAAAAAAGTAATTTAGTGTGATTCGTCTTCTGCACTCTGAACCAAGCCATTGGAGTTTGATTTCCAGCCATGGGTAGCATCGATGGCCAGTGATATCTGAACCAGTTTTGGGTGTACCACCTCTTGCTGACCAGTGTGATGAAGTATGATCAATCAATTCCTATGACTGGTATGGCTCAGGGAAACCTTCATCCAGTATCACAAAAAGTACAATCATTCAGAGGTGGACGGATCATGGCTACTCATGATGACGATGCTAATGATGATGATGGTAAAATGATCGTTGTCTGTAATAAGGCTCAGAAAGACGAGGTAGTATTCATGCAGCTGAGGGAGGAGCTCAAGGCGTTCTCCACACATTCACTTTCATACACACACACGTGCGCCCGCGCACACACACCACAAAGCCTCACTCCCAGCACGAGCCTGAGTATTACATTTCGCGGGGGATCGCTCCACTGAACAAAATAGCTCCGCGGTTAAATTTTCAAGTGTGAGCTCGCGTTTAAAGTCAGTGTTAAAAAAGATATATATATTTCATGGAAGCAGGTTCTTAAATGTGGATGTTCGTAAGTCCGGTGTTCGTAAGCTGAGGACTGCCTACATCCACTTATTTTTCACACTGATGTATAGATGCGCGCTAGGTTACTGAACATCCTCTGTTTAGGGACTGTACCACATTACGATCCATCATCCACCTCTAGTAGAAGTACCTACTACTACTAGACCATCTCCCTGGGCTACGCGCATCTCGATCCCATCCCTTAATTTTACCTTTTAATGCACCTATTGGGTTAATTGATTCATAATATGGGCTTTTATAGGTGTTATTTTGGGTTGTATGGATGGTGGTCGCCCATCGAAGCACTATCAAAGTTCAACCGTGCTTTTCTTCTAAGATATATATTGGGTGTATTCTGGGTCATTTGGTCATGTATCGACATATGTGAAAGATTTTCATAGCTGTTCAGATTCCTATATTTAAATAAAGATACTGGTTCTGTATGTCTTTGTTATATCTGAATGTTCTATCGTAACTGCACGCAGTCATTAAAACGCTTTGCCATATTCCTCTGCTGCTTATGCCCGTGGCCCACACAGCTCATTGAGAACAACAAGCAGCTGGGATCCCTGCAGGCGGAGATTCTGGGCTACCAGCGCGTGGTGGCAGAGCTGCATGCTGCGCTGGGACCATCCCACGAAAACCTGCAGAGCTTGCACGCACAGCTGCAGGATCTGCAAGTGCTGTACCAGCAGAGCGAGGCGAAGGTGAGCGCACAGCATTCGGCGTCACAAAGATTCCCGTATAGCCTTAATAGACTGTTGGGACAAGTGCTGTTAGCGAGCACCATGAAGGCCGGCATGGCATGCGAGGGGTTGTGTGACCAGCACCACACCCATTTGCCTGTGTATCCCAAGTGGTGATGTTACACACCGCGCTAGATGCTCATTTGAGGCTGAATCGACCTAGGGGAGGCCCCAGGAACGATTCAGAAAATTGTCACTGGTGTTGGCCATGAGTGAGAATTGAACTGGGTTCGTAGTGCAGCGCGCAAACTGCTACAGTGCCGCCCCCAACACTCACATTCACATACACACACATGTGCGTGTGCACACCTACATTCACTCCCAGCACGAGGCTGACTCATGGCATCTCGTGGAGGATCGCTGCACTGAACAAAATAGTTCCACAGTTCAGTTTGCAAGTGCGAGTTTGCGTTTTAAGTCAATGGTAACCGAAAATTTCATGGAAACAGGTTCGTTGGTCGGGTATTCCGAAGTCAGGTGTTCATAAGTTGATGACTGCCTGTATCCACTTCTTTTCATACTAATGGTTGTACAGTATGGATGCGTACTGGGTTACGGAGCATCCTCTATTTAGGGACTGTACCACGTTACGATCCACCATCCCACCTCTAATAGAAGTACCTACTACTAGACCATCTGCTCCCCTCTGCTACGTGCATCTCACTCCCCGTGTTTGGTTGGAAAGCGATCTTAATCTGATATTTTAATGCAGCTTTTGGGTTAATTCATATATGTGGGTTGTATGGATGGTGGTCGTCCATCCAAGCACTATGGAAGTTCAGCCATGCTTTTCTTCCAAGATCTGAGATGATTGGGTGCATTCTGGTCATTTGGTCATAGGTGGTGTATGGACATCTGTGTAAAAGAGCTTAATAGCTCATTACATTGCTCAATTATAAATAAAGATTGCGATTCTATGTGTCTGTTGTTGCATCTGTATGTTATACAATAACCGCACGCAATCGTTAAAATGCTTTTCTGTGTTTCTTTGCCGCCGTTTTCCCGTGGCCCACATCATTGACAGGAATTGGCAGCTGGAATCTCTGCAGGCAGAGATTCAGTGGTACGAACGTGTGGTGGTGAGCTGCACGCCGAGTTGGCGCCCTACCGCGACAACAGGCAGAGCGCACACTCAGAGCAGCAGCATCTGCAGAGCGAGGTGGAGGTGAGCGCACAGCACTCGTGCGTCGCACACACACAAGTACATAATTTGCGTTTAACGTAAATAAAATATTCATACACACACGATTCAGTGTATGATGATAATGATGAGCTGGTCTAACCATCTCGTTAAGCCGTCATGGTCCTCATTTACAAATACAGATTATCTATCTATAGACAATTCCATTATTGCTGTAAACAATGATAACGATAAGAATGATTTAGCACCTTTCTGTTCACCGGGGCATCTCAGAGTGCTTTACATCACATCTCATCTCAACACGTTTGAAAGGGCACCCTCAATGACAGATGTCCCTGTGGGCACAAGGTGACTCAGCACCTGGCGTGAAATCGACATTTGTCTGCCAGTAGGAGGTGCTGATTGTTGTGTGTATTCACAGTTGAGCTGGTATATGTACTTAGTTGTGTGTATGTCTAATGGGTCGTGTTTGTCCACAGCTTCCTACGGTTGATGAAGAGGACATCTCTGGCTGCTCACTGGAGCCCAGCGTTCAAGAAGCCTCCTAAGACCTGCCCCCCAAGGCCTCCAACACCCTCTGCGTCTCTCACATTGACTAACACACGCACATATCGACTGACACACACACACACACATCGACTCACACACACACACATGGACTTACACACACAATTACATACGGACTTATACACACATATCGACTAAGACACACACACACGTGGACTTACACACACACATGGACCCATGCACACACATCGACTTACACACACATCGACTCACACACACTGCCCTACACACACACATATGGACTCAAACACACAGACATCGACTTAAAATACACACACATGGAGTTACACACAAGACAAAGATCCCCCGTATAGCAACAGACTGTAGGGGCAAGTGCTGTTAGCAAGCACCTATAAAGGCCGGAATAGCACACGAGGGGGTGGGTGGCCAGCACCACGCCCGGCCGGCTTTGTCTCCCCAGTGGCGATGTTTATGCACTGCACCAGGTACTCATTTCAGGCTGAGTCGACCTAGGGGAGGCCCAGGACTGGTTCAGATAATCGTCACTGGTGTTGGCCATGAGCGGGAATTGAACCCGGGTCGCTAGGTTCATAGCGCAGCGCGCTGCTACACTACCGCTCCCCACACAAATAGACAAATATCCCCGTGTAGCCTTAACAGACTGTAGGGGCAAGTGCTGTTAGCGAGCACCTATGAAGGCAGGCACGGCACACGAGGGGGTGGGGTGGCTAACACCACGCCCGGCCGCCTTTGTCTCCCTAGTGGTGATGTTTACACACCGCACCAGGTACTCATTTTAGGCTGAGTCGACCTAGGGGAGGCCCAGGACCGGTTCTGACAACCGTCACCGGTGTTGGCCGTGAGCGGGAATCGAACTCGAGTCGCCGGGTTCACAGCGCAGCGCGCTACCCGCTACACTACCGCCCCCACACACACACACACACAAACGTACACACACATCGACTCACACATATGGACTCACACACACATACACATCGACGTACACACATATCAACTGACACATATGTAATATAGCTCGCAGAGACGGCGTCGTCTCTTCTATTTGTTTATTATCAAATAAATATCAACCAATAACTCAACGTGCAACTACGAGTGACTATATACACACGGGTGTTTCACACGACACGATTCTGGGATAACATAACTTCTCTGTAAGACAACTCGCGGACGATGAAGACGGCCCGGACCCAGAGCACGACGACGCAGTGCCCCACACCAAGCACAACCCTGAACCTTCACTCACACTGCTATTTATCCTCGCCGGGCCCGACCACACCCTATGCCTTAATACAATTTGTTCCCGTCTAAGGAATGCTTATTAACTCGTCCTTCCCTACCATTGGCTCCCGTCGCGTGAATGCTCATGAACTCATTAGAACCATGGTCCCGGTAATCCTTCCATTAGTGACCATGGTCCCGGGGAGCCACACCATCCGCCATCGCCCCACACTGTCATTACAACACCCCCCCTTTGCAACGTCAGTAACGTCTTCCGAACGCCGAGATGTAATAATTTGGTTTCGTGTACCACCGAGTCAACGCACCCCGTAAAACCGTAAGAACCACCAGGCCGTAGCGTTGAAACCCTCATCCCATCTCATAAGCAACCCGTCCTCAGCACAATCTTTGAGGACTTCGCCAAGCTAGGGTTCGTTAGTTCCCGCTCCGCACGCCCCCAGAGTCACAACAAGGACGCGTGATCCATTTGCAACCGACCCCATTCGGCAAGCGTGAGGCCCAGTATTCCAGCTACCGGTGCAACGTTACCAATGGGTGCTGCGCTCTCCACTGACGCCACTACCCCAGATGGCTTCGCGCCCCGTGGCTTACATCGTCCTGCGCCCGTTAAACAAGCACAGCCCTCCCCCGTCGGCATTCCTTGGTTAAATCACCCGAAATGAAAATTCCTGTAATATCTCCAAGCAACGTGACAGTTGGCCCGAAGGTTGAACCACACGCAAGGAGTATTGAAGGGCCGCGTGGTCCGTGTGGACCACGAATTCCCTACCGTACAGGTAAGGCCTGTACTGTTGCACAAAGTGCACCATGGCCAAGAGTTCCCTCCTGGTCACGCTGTAACATCGTTCCGCGGATGACAGGATGCGGCTCCTGTACGCTACCACCCTTCCAACGCCGTTCTTAACTTGGGACAGGGCAGCCCCAAGACCCGTGTCACTGGCATCTGTATCTAAGGTAAACGATAGGGGAAAATCCGGCTACTCCAGGGGAGGCGCATCGGCATGGCTTTTGCGCAGTGTAACAAAAGCGGCATTCTCCTCCTCTCCCCACCTAAACTTTTGGCCTTTAGCCATTAAAGCATGAAGAGGCGTAGTGATCATCGCGAACTGCGGAATGAAACTTCGGTAATAGGGCGCGAAACCGACAAAACTGTGCACCTCCCCCACGACTGAGGAGTCGGCCAATCGCGCACACACGCGTCTTGTCGGGATCCGTTGCTATTCCGGAATCGCCCACGATGTGACCCAGATATCGCACAGAGGTTTGCAACAGGTGACATTTCGCAGGTTTCAACTTAAGGTATGCCGACCGTGTCCTCAACAACACGGAATGCAACCATTGCAAATGTTCCTCGAAAGTGCGGCCAAACACAATCATATCGTCAAGGTAAATGAGAAGTGAGTCCCATTGCAACCCCGCTAGGACTAGTTCCATCAACCTCTGGAAGGTGGCTGGGGCTGAGTGTAAGCCCATGGGAAGGCAGTTGAAATGGTACAATCCTTGAGGTGCTCTAAATGCCGTTTTTGGTTTGGATGACTCATCCAGGGAAGTTGTCAAAATCCCGACAAAAGGTCTAAGGTGAAAACAATCTGGCCCCCGATAGCGCATCCAACGAGTCGTCCATACGGGGAGTGGGTACGCATCTGCGACTGACACTTTATTCAACTTGCGGAAGTCTACGCAGAACCCGCACCATGCCATCAGCCTTTTTTACCAACACTACGGGAGCACCCCAAGGACTCGGCGAGGGGGAAATAATATCTGCCGCCAGCATTTCCTCCACCGCCAGTTGCACGCTTTCCTTTTCCCCGGGCTTAACCTATACAGATTCTGTCGAATGGGGGCAGCCGTTCCCGTGTTAATATGGTGTTGCAGAAGGGAAGTGCGCCCAATATCAAACTTACCCTTACTGAACACCTCCGAATATTCACGTAGGAGGGATCACAACACGGCCCGCTGCTCCATGGACAACTTCGGGTTTTCCCCACACAGCTTTTCTATCCATGCTTCATCCTCTCCCCCTGTCTGCACCACTCCGCCTCCCACGGCATCCCCGGTGGCCTTGAGGGAATCTCTCCCCATCAACATTGCATGGGCTAACACCGTTCCCGCCTGAACCACCACCGGCTCTACCCGAACATTGCGGACTTGTAAGAACGGCTCCTGACCAACTCGCAACAGCGTCAAC